TGTTTCATTTTAATCTTTCGAACACTAAGGGGATAAAACTTTTTCCACGTAAATTCACGCAAAGCAAATAAAGGGTTAAGGCAGGAATCAAAGCAACCTTTGCCAAATGTCAGATCTAGGGCTTGCAACCTCTGGCCATACCACCTCAGCCTTTACCTGAACCCTCACGGGAACCAGCTGGCTCGGTGGCTTGTGTGCTCTTGTGCAGCCCTGGTGGTGCTCTTCGTGGCCCTGAGGCGGCAGAAGCAGGAAGCCTTGATGGTACTGGAGGAGGAGGATGTCCGTGAGAACATCATCACCTATGATGACGAGGGCGGTGGGGAGGAGGATACCGAGGCCTTTGACATCACAGCCTTGCAGAACCCAGACGGAGCTGCTCCTCCAGCAGCAGCCGGGCCGCCGGTGCGCCGCGACGTGCTTCCGCGGACCCGAGCGCCACGCCAGCCCAGGCCACCCGGCCCCGCCGATGTGGCACAGTTGCTGGTGCTGCGGCTGCACGAGGCGGACGAGGACCCCAGTGTGCCTCCGTACGACTCGGTACAGGTGTATGGCTATGAGGGCCGAGGCTCCTCCTGCGGCTCGCTCAGCTCCCTGGGCTCAGGCAGCGAAGCTGGCGGTGTCCCCAACCCCTCTGAGCCAATGGATGACTGGGGCCCACTCTTCCGCACTCTGGCTGAGCTGTATGGGGCCAAGGACCCCCCGGCCCCCTGAGGCCGGCCCTGACCCTGCGGCTTGCTGCGCTGCGGTGGGGCAGCCCGCACTGGCCCTCTGAGTGAGCCCCACGGGGTCCAGGCAGGTGGGGGAAGCCCTGGGGCCCGATGTGTCTGTCCCTCCTTCCTTCCCCCGGGTACCCTCCCTTTTACCTCCCTCTCCTCAGTCGGTCTGTGTGTTTCTCCAGAGATCCCTGTCTGTGATTCTCCACTGTCGGGGGTTGGGTTTTATAACTGACCCAACCTCTGTTCTCACTGTGACTGTGTGGCTGTTTTTGTCTAGTAATTCTAATCGCTCAGACTGTCTTCTTTGCCCACACACATGCTCTGTCTCCTACACACAAGTTCCTCCTCCCTTCTCCTTAAGTCCCTGGCTTTTTGGTTTGTTTGTTGTTGGTTCTGTTTCTTTGTTTCCTGGTATCCATCCCAAAAGCAAGAGAATCTTCCAGCCACTGCTGCCCCACCCTACTGCAGGAGATGCTCTGTTCCAGGTCATTGTCCGTGGACTACATAGGACTGGGGGCGGGGGGGGGGGGCGAACGGGGGACCTCCAATCCTGCTTCTAAACCAACTCTCCATTCCTCATAGACCTGCCTGCATGGTTCCATCCATCACTCATGCCTCATCCTGGCTCCGCTGGCTTCCAGCGGAAGGAAGAAGGGAGCCAGCTCACCTCCCGGGGCAAGAGCTTCAGCCCCCGCGTGGCCACCTCCCTGGAGCTCTGCCCGGCTGTCAGCCTGCCCTGGGCCTTCTAGCTCCGGGCATCGTGTGTGCTTCTTAGGCCCCCCGAAGGGAAGGGACAGGGGAGAGAAAGGGGAGCAGCTGGGGAAGAGGGGAAAGGGAGGAAGGGGAGGGGCCTCCATCTCTAATTTCATAATAAACACTTTATTTTGTAAAGGAGGAGCCTGCTTCTGTTTCTGCACTCAGCCTTCTGGACAGAGTTCCCTCTGTGCTGAGGGTGGCAGCGATCTAAGCCCTCTGGTCCCAGGTCATTCCTTCTTAGAGGTACCCACTTTATCTCTGAGGAGATAGGAGTGTCAGGCCTGTTCCATTGGAGAAGCAGGAGGATAATGGCTGTCCCCATGCCCACCAGCCACTCTTCAGTCCCACATCCCAAGAAATGAGTCTGGGACTAGCAAGAGGAAAGTGAACAAGGGGACGGGATGAATGGAGGCATGAGAGGGAGAGAGGAGCGTCAGTCAGAGGAGCAGGATGTGAATGGCTAAGGGGTAGAATATATCAGTGGGGTGGCAGCTGGTTGGGACTGCCAACATCCTCAGTGCTCACTTCCTGAGGCAGAGGAGGCGTCTTCTCAGGGAACAACACAAGTCTCAGGCCTTTTCTCCAGGAAGGTCTCAGGCTCCCGGAGTGAGTGGGTCCTCCCGGCAGGTCTCTGTGACGCTTCCTACTAACTGTGTGATGCTGGCAGCTGGAAAAGGTGACTTTCGTGGGAGAGAGAGAGACTGGGTCTCACTATGTAGCTCACCGTATAGCCCTGACTAGCCTTGAACTCACAACAGGCCTCCTGCCTCCATCCCTGAGGGCTGACATTAAGGTCACACAGCTGGGAACAAACCTCATGCCTTCCATAACTGCTGACTTAGAACAAGCAGGCGGTGGGATGCCAAGAGCCCTCTCTCCATTGCTGGTTATTTACTCTGCTGAAGTTGCACTAAAAGGCCTGCATAAAAGCAGGTGTCTATCCTTCCAAGACCTCAAGAAACTGAAGATGCAGCAACCAAAGCAGGACATCAGAGAGGACAGGGTCCTCCTTTAGGCTCACTCTGATAGCTGCTTCAACCTTTAAAATGTATTGGAACAGGGCCAGGCGGTGGTGGCGCACACCTTTAATCCCAGCATTTGGGAGGCAGAGGCAGGAGGATCTCTGTGAGTTCAAGGCCAGCATGGTCTATAGGAGCTAGCTCCAGGACAGGCTACAAAGCTACAGAGAAACCCTGTCTCTAAAAATAAAAAATTAAATAAAAATGTATTGGAACAATGAAAGAAATGACTCATGGGGCAGTCTCAGGTAGAAAAGGGCACATTCAGAAGGGACATGAGCTATGCCTGCCCAGTTTTACCAACCCTACCAGGGCACTCTAACAATGCATTAAAAAATTAAAGGAACATGGGACTGGGAATAGCTCAGATTTGAAGAGGCAGAGGCAGGTGGATCTCTGTGAGTTCGAGGCCAGCCTGATCTACAAAGTGAGTTCCAGGACAGCCAAGGATACAAAAAAAAAAAAAAAAGGAAGGAAGGAAGGAAGGAAGAAAGAAAGCCATCCTAACTCAAAAAAAAAATCAAAAAGCAAGCCTTATTCTTTCAGGGTTCTAGCCTCCTGGGAAGAGAGGTACAGAGCATCTCAGGGGATTGGGTTGCACACACACACAGACACACACACACACTCTTCACAGCAGCCTCTGGCTGGGCTCAGATATCCATCATAGGTCCCACACCACCCCTCTGTGCCTCCCTTTGCTCACTGTCTGAAGGCCTCAGAACAGATCGGGGGAGTAAGGAGTAGCTATGGGATGATGCATAGCCCGGCCCCAAGCTCCTCTTTTCTGTAGCTTTCTACTGTGCAAGACGTACAAAGCCGGGAGCAGGGGATGGGGGGGAAGGTTGGCACTGTGCCACATAGGCTGCAGAGGCTGCTCTCATTCAAGTATGGCTCCTTTCTCTTACCGAGTCACCACACATGCTGACCCGGCATGCTCAAGTGCAGATCCCCATGCTGAATCTCAAACCCATAGCCAGATGTAAGGCCCACTCAACCCACTCTTGCCCGTGCAGAAGTTGCCCCTCCAGGAATAGGAGGTCCCAAGTGTCCCTGACCTTCAGTTCTCACCCCTGGAGCCCCACACCTCCCCAAGGCTGGGCAGTTTGTAGGAGATAAAGGCTGCTGTGGTGGCCAACAGCTAGATTTCTACCCTGACTAGCAAGCTAGTCTCTACGCACTGGGAACTCTCCATAATCCTCTGTTCTTTCTGGGAGTTCCCGACTTTACTTCCAAATCTCCAGAGCTTGGAAAATTCAGTTCAGAGTCTGTAAGTCTAATGTCAATGAATTCTGAAGTGCAGATGGTCAAGGAAGAGGAAAAAACAGCTGTCAGTCTTAGGACTGGAGGCTTCAGGAGAGAAAAGAGAAAAGGTGATTCCTTCAGATCCCACCTCCTGACCATTCTGGGGAGAGGGCGCTGGCTCCTGGAGCTGAAAGCCTGGATCTCCAAGTCTGGGCCCTCCGGAAAGCCAGAGCGGGCCAGGAGGGCCAGGAGACGGGCTAGCTGGCACCGCCGCCAGCATAGCGTCCCCACTCTGGTCTTAATCCTCTGAAGGGAGCAACCAGGAGAGGCTGGAGTAAAGAAACAGGGAGAAGTCTGTGGGGGTAGAGAGCAGGGCTGGTCTATAGGGCAGGACTCAGGCCCTGGCCGGCACAGCAAGATAAGCCTGGGAATAGGCAGTTTCTCTGCGCTCGCCTTCCTAGCTCATTGGCTCCTTGGAGTTCATTCATCTCCAGCCAATAAGCAGGGGCTTGGCCTAGTCCCCAGAAGCTTGCAAGGAAAGCAGAAAAAAAAAAGGGAGGGGGTGGGAGGCAGGACCGAGGGAAATGTGCACAGAGAACCCACGAAGGCTTGTGCATGTCTAAGATCTGCAATGTTGTCACCTACTATAACCTGGGGAGTCCGATAACTCCCTAAACCCGATCCAGCTTCCATAAAGGATGATGCTTCCAAAGACTGTCATGAGAACGCCACCTAGTCTAGGAGGAATCACAACAGTCATGATAGTCCCAGCAGGGGGGTGGCAGAGACAAGCCCATGGCCACTATAACTAAACTAGGCCCTGCAGCCCTGGGGTTTCTAAATCTTTCTGAGGAGGCTGCTCTCTCCTGGCTGGCCTGCCTGACCAAGTTGAGAAGTGACCAGGAGAGAGAGATAAACACTCAGACAAATAAGGACCAAAAGGAGAATAGAGATTGGGACAGGACAGCAAGAAAGGGTCTAGCACATAGCAGGGCAGTTGGTGTGCCGTAGACATGCAACAAGAATTGGCGGAGTCAGTTTAGAGGCAGAAGAGGCGATGCCATCCATCTGGGCATCCCCAGGACAGATTGGGCAGAGACATCAATAGCTCCGGGAGGCAGAAAGGATAGGGACTTAAACAAAAAGAGCAGGCAACCCGGAAAAGCCAGAGCCAGATGCCATGAGGCTGCTTCAGAACCAGCCCCACTAAGGCAGCCTCATTCCGCGACCTCCCCGCCTTGTCTGGGTCCCCAGGTGCCGTCATTTCTCAAATCATTTCAGTCTTCACTCTTATCCTGTCGTCTTCTGCTGTCACCTCCTCTGGCTCCACAAAGAGTTCTCCACCTCCTGCAGCATCTTGTGGAGTGGCGGGTCCAGGGCAGACTTGACTGACTTCCGCCTCCTGCTCCTGCTCCTGCTCCGGCTCCCGCTCCTGCTTCCGCTCCGGCTCCCGCTCCTGCTCCAAGCCTGGGGCTTTCTGCAGCTCCATGTATAGCACGTAGGCATCACTGCGGGACACATACTCCCATCCAGACTCTTGAACATGGAAAAGGTCCACGGAGCCCCCTGAATAAGCATCACGGTGGGTGGCATGGGCCACAGCACAGCGGGCCAGAGTATAGGCTTCCTGAATGGTCATGTCATAGTGGTAGCTACGGTCAAGCACACCATAGGCATACGGAGATCCAGAGCCCACAGAGAAGATGTCTCCCTGCAAACAAGTGCCATCGCTGTAGACATAGAAGAGGGCAGGGCCAGAGTGGTCCCAGCCACACAGGGCTGTGGCCACACACAGATCCAGACCCCGGTAGCGGGACATCATAGTTGACAAGAGTTTGGCTGTGCCCGCCACACTGGGCAGCTGACCTTCCCTCAGTTCCCGAAGTCGCAGCTCCCGCTGTAACACCCGATACCATGTGACACAATCAGCAGAGGTCCCAGAGGTGGTACCCAGAAGGTGCCGGTGCACAGGGATGACCTTTCGTGAGGCCGGACATGCCACATAGCTGCCACAGGAGGAACGAGTGTCAGCTGCAGCGATGACACCGTGACGGAATCGAAAAGCCAGGGTGGTGGTGCCATGAGCCAGTCTGGGGCCATAGATCTGCAGGAAGGTTTGAGGGTCACAGCCCTGAGGCACAGCCCAGCCACCAGCCTCAGGCAAATGGGGGGATAGCCCCTGGGTATCAGGGACCTGCCACTTGCAGACATCCTGCAGAGCCATCTCTGAGGCTGAGTGTAAGTTGGAAGGAGTCGGGCAGCATTTGAGGCCTGGGTCAGAAGGGGAAGAAGGTCAGAAGGGGAGAAGGACGCCGTTGAGAAGCTGGACCACAGCCAGAACTGGTAAGTGAGACTTTGTGAGCTGAGGCTTCATTGCCCCCATCTCAAGTCAGGCTTCTGGATTCGTTGGTAAAGCATCTCCACCCACATCAGAGAACTGCCAAGAGGAGAGAGAATGCTCCAGCAGAGGTTCTGGCGCTGGGGAGACGCCACCTATCAGTCACCTAAGAGTCTCCTGTCTGTCAACCTCTATCTGCCCAGCAAGGGTAGGGGTGGGGATTAGGGTAACTGCAGAGAAGAGAGGATGCAAGAGAAAGGAGCAGGGCTGCGTCCTCCTTGGCTTTGCTGTGGGACATTAGGCAAGCAAAGACTTCCAACTCATGGCAAGTTGGAGGTGTAACAAGCCGGGCGGTGGTGGCGCACGCCTTTAATCCCAGCACTCAGGAGGCAGAGGCAGGCGGATCTCTGGGAGTTGAGGCCAGCCTGGTCTACAAGAGCTAGTTCCAGGACAGGCTCCAAAGCTACAGAGAAACCCTGTCTCGAAAAACAAAAACAAAAAAAAAAAAAGATGGAGGTGTAACATGGACTGTGATGAACACAGAAAAGACGGGAGTTTCTGTTAGAGGGAAAAGGAGAAGACTTCAATACCTCCCCGAAAAGCAGGATACTGAGGGGTAAGAGTGCCAGAACATGAAAGTTTCTCTTCTGCTTTGGGGACAAAGGGGTCCTTCTGTCTGCACACAAAGATGGCATTCCTAGGTTGGGACGGTCACTAGTAGGTAGATAAAAGCACTTGCTTAGCAAGCCTGGCAACCAGAGTTTGAGCCTCAGAACCCACATTAAAAAGCCAGATGCCAACCCTCAGGAGGCAGAGGCAGGCGGATCTCTCAGCTCAAGGCCAACCTGGCCTTCAAAGTGAGTTCCAGGACAGTCAGAGCTACACAGAGAAACCTTGTCTTGCAGATGCAGTGACACGCATCTCTAATCATCATCTCTATGGCGAGAAGAGAAGCAGAGACAGGAGAACCAGCCCACCTGGAGGACCAAGGTGGAAGGTGAGAACTGGCTCTAGAGTTGTCCTCTGACCTCACACTCACTCACATACACTTTATACACACCGACATACGCTAAATAATTTGTTCATTTTTCAAAAGATGGCCTTCCTAGGTATCCATGGAGCTTATAAGTGCAGTATTTGCCTTGTATGCCCAAACCTGGCATCACAAAAATGATAAAATAATAATCTGAAGGCATCCATATGTAATGATACGTCCCTGTTATCAATTCCAGCATTCCAGGCTAAGATGGGAGGCTTATGAGTTCCAGGCCAGCCAAAAGACTCTACCTCAGATAAACAAGCAAACAAACAAATAACTTTTAAAATAAATACTATAGGGAGCTGGAGAGATGGCTTAGTGGTTAAACACTGACTGCTCTTCCAGAGGACCTGGGTTCAATTCCCAGCACCCACATGGCAGCTCATGACTGCCTGTAGTTCCAGTTTCAGGGGATCTGATACCTTCACACAGCAGGCAAAACATTAGCATGCACGAAATAAAAATTAAAAAAATACTACAGAGTTTCAGACTCTCTGATATGGGATGTCCTTCTGTATACATGTTGCTTTTATTGGCTGATGAATAAAGTTGTTTCAGCCAATGGCTTGGCAGAGTAAAGGTAGGCAGGAAATCCGAACAGAGATAGAAATAGAGTAGGCAGAGTCAGGGAGATGCCCTGTAGCCACCAAAAGAGAAAGATGCCAGAACATTACTGGTAAGCCACAGCCTCGTGGCAATACATAGATTAATAGAAATGGGTTAATTTAAGATGTAAGAGCTAGCTAGAAATATGCCTGAGCCATCGGCCAAACAGTGCTGTAATTGATATAAGTTCTTTGTGATTATTTGGGTCTGGGTGGCAGTCTCTGTTTACAGTTCTCTGTAAGAATGGAGTGAAATCCTCCTACCTCATGCCATCATCGCGTCAGGCCAGGACAGCTGATGGTCTCCTAAGTGGACACTCCAGAGGCATGCAGATCTCTGTGAGTACAAGGAAAGCCAGGTCTACATAGAGAGACTCTGTCTCAAAAAAATAAATAAAAATAAAAAAATAAAATTAAAAAATAAGTCCACTGTTGTGGAATATTTGTTTAACTAGGCAAAGATGTGTTACATTTGTTTACCATGCATTTACTTAACTATGTAAAGATTCGTTCCATTTGCATTAAATAAAACTAACCTTGGCTCAGAGAGGCAGAATTGGCAACTAGCTGACAGGAAGTAGAAGGGAGAAGTGTAGTGTGGCTTTTGTTGGTTTGGGTTTGACTCTTGGAGACAGGGTTTCTCTGTGTTACAGCCCTGGCTGTCCTGAAATTCACCCGGTAGCCCAGGGTGGCCTCAGACTCAGAGACCTGCCTGCCTCTGCCTCCCGAGTGCAGGGTTTAAAGGTGTGTGCCACCTCCGCCTGGCAGTAGCATGAGTTTTTAGTTGGGGTGGTGTGAAAGAAGGAAGAGGAAGCCAGCAAAGAGAGAAAACTAGACAGTTGCTACTCTAACTCTCTGAGCTTGCAGGTTTTCACCCTAGCCTTTGAATTTCAAGTTTTATTAGAACGATAGAGATTTAGTTAAAGCTACCTTTATCGGCAGAAACAGAGCCACCGTCTGGGGGAATGGAATCCACCCAGGCTAAGGCCTTAGTAGCCAGTGGCTAGTAGTTTAAAGGACAGCCACTGTGATAAAGGGAAAATAACATTTTGGGGCTTCACATTGGGTGCCAAAGGTAGCAGGCTTTCTTGGACTGCTAATCAGCTTCCAAATCACGACACCGAGATTTATTATAGTTATGAATGCTCAGCCTCAGCTTATGCTTGTCCCATTAGCTCTTATAACTTATTTTAACCTGTCCATCTTCTACATCTTGTCTTGAGGCTTTTTACCTTACTTTCATTCTGTATATCTTGCTCATACTGCTTTTTCCATGTCTTACTGGCTGGTAACTGCCTGGCTGGCCCCAAGCATCGCCTCCTTTTTCTCCCTCATTCTCCCCTCCTCCTATTTATTCTCTCTGCCCAGCTGCCCTGCCTATTCCTCTACTGCCTAGTTATTGATTGTTCAGCTTCTGATTAAACCAAGCAAAGCCACACATCTTTACATCACTGAACAAATGCAATATAAACAAACGTAACCCGTCTTTGCCTAGTTACAGTATATTCCACCACAGTCCACTATCGGCCAGTCCAAATCCATCCCACAATCTCTTTTCTTTCCATTCCTAGCACATTTTCTATTTCTGCTCCCCCTGTCTCCAGGATTTAAATCCTATCCCTCAATGTCTGGTTTAAGTGCCATGCCTTCTGAAATCCTTCCCCAGCATGAGCTTAAAAATGTAAAGTTGTGGCTTGAAGAGGGGGGTTTGATTTCAGTGTTTTGTTTTATTTGGTTGTTTGATTTTTAGTTTGGAGCCAAGGTGCCTCTGTTTAGTTTGAGCTATCACGAAACTCACCATGTAGTTAGCTAATTTAGATTCATTTTGAACTCTCCTTCCAAGTGTGTGCCATCACACCCAGTATTTCTCATTATTGCTGCTGTTTTGGGGAGTGTTGTTTTCTGTGGGTTTTGTTTTGTTTTTTATTTGTTTGTGTGTTTGTTTGTATAGTTATTTACTTATTTATTGTGTACTCTGTTCTGGCATGTATGCCCACATATCAGAAGAGGGCACTAAATCTTGTTAGAGATGGTTGTGAGCCACCACATAGTTGCTGGGAATTAAACTCTGTTCCTCTGTAAGAATAGTCAGTGCTCTTAACCTCTGAGCCATCTCTCCAGCTCCCTCCCCCACCCCCCCATTTTTTTGAGATGGTTTCTCTGTGTAGCTTTGGAGCCTGTCCTGGAACTCGCTTTGTAAACCAGGCTGGCCTTGAACTCATTGAGACCCACTTGCCTCAACCTCCCAAAGGCTGGGAATAAAGGTGTGCACCACCACTACCCAGGGTTTTTCTGTTTTGTTTTGTTTTGTTTTTGAGACGGGGTCTCACTACGTGGACCAGGTGGCCTTGAACTCACAAAGATCTCCCTGCCTCTGCCTCACCTGTGCTGGGATACTGTTTTGGTTTTGAGGCAGGATCTTGTTCTGTAGATAAAGCTTGCCTTCAACTCCCTCGTAGCCCACGTTTGCTTCAAACTCACTATCCTCCCGCCTCTACTTCTTAAGTGTTGGTGTGAAACTCTGTCCTCTGGACAGGACACAACTATTGCCTTCTTGAATGAGAGTAGATGTGATTGTTCATATGACATCCTCCCAAGACTGAGCCCACTAACTTCCCTTTGAGAAAGGGAAACAGTGTTGGAGAGACCACAGGGAGGAGGCACACACCAGGCTCTGACCCTCCCAAAAGGACAGTAAGCAGTTCACAGTTGTGTATGTGTTTTTTTAAACTAATTTACTCATTTTGTTTTATGTATGAGCATTTTGCCTGCATTTAGTATGTATACCACATGCATGCTTGGTATCCATGAAGGTCAGATGAAGGCAATGTCTCTCCTGGAACTGGAGTTACAGATGGTTCTGAATCACCATGTAGATGCCGGGAATTGAACCCAGATCCTCTGTAAAAGCAGCCAGTGCACTTAGTTGCTGAGCCATGCCTCCAGCCCCCAGTTAACAGCTGTTGGGGAAAGAGACTATTATTTGGTAGTATAGCTTCTATTAGTTGCCCAGGTTCCTATAAATAACCACTTAGTCAGGCACCTCTAAGTAACCACATGTGAGCTCATTGGGTCACCATGCTAGACCTGGGTGACTAGTTCTTTGGTCTGTCCATGGTGCTCCATGTGGAGTGATAGACAGACATTTGTTCATATCTCTCCAGGAAATGGCATGCAACATGCAAACATACTGGTAAGGCTCTGATTTTGAGGAGCAATGGAACCCAAGTGGACCCCAGATC